CTCTCTCTCTCTCTCTCTCTCTCTCTCTCTCTCTCTCTCTCTCTCTCTCTCTCTCTCTCTCTCTCTCTCTCTCTCTCTCTCTCTCTCTCTCTCTCTCTCTCTCTCTCTCTCTTACACACACACACGCACACTGGTTTCTTCGCGCTAGCATTGCTCACAGAATGTCTCTTTTTCTCTCTTTCTCACTCGGTCTCTCTCTTTCTGCAGAGTGGTTTTTACGGCTATGATGGACTAGTATCCTGAACTTACTGTCGTTTTTGTCAGTGGTGGTTTGAGTAAAGTCCGCCACTTGTCACAAGGGTATCGCTAACTTCGGGCAAGATGGTGAATCCTATTTATCAGTCGAATGCACCCTGGTCAGACTGTTGGGATTCAGTGAATTAAAAACACAGCTCATGACATGCAAGTGCTGAGTCCTTATCCGCAACTAGCTTTGCCCACACAATCTTGCTTCTTCAACCTACTGAAGAGTCAGTGACGAGTCAGTGAAAGTCCGACCAAACAGTCTCACAGCTACCCTACTGTTGTGGACTTGTATTTAGTGGAGTTAGAGAACACACCTCATAACATGCAAGAGTGTTAATGTGGCCATTGGAACGTGAGTTTAAAGTTTAAACTGATGCAAGCACCGCAAGATTGAGTCACACAGCTTTTATCACAGGGTGCAGGATGTGGCAAAGAAAGTGCGAATCTGCTGTGTACCAGCTCGAAACTGGGAAAGGCGAAATCAAAAAAGCACAGAAGGGTGTTTCGAAACGGAGGCTTCCCCCTGGCCAACTACTGTAGCTTTGCCCTCTACGTGTAAGTTCATCCCCAGACCGTCCGGTAGAGCCATATGTAGATCGCACGCTATGCCTTTTATTCGTTGAAACGTTCAAATGTGTATGCCTTCTGTCTCGAGGGAAGGTGGTAGTAAAACCTTAGCACGCGGTTATGTCTTCACCGTAAAAGGGCAGAAGATGGTGGTAGGTGGGGGGCTGGAGTGAGTGCTAGTTCGTTGCCTGGGAACTGCTTTAGGTTCCAACTTCCTGTTGATAGGGAGGTCTTCCCTAGTTAGTATCGGCTTCAAGCACAACCCTCAGCAGCCCGAGCAAGGCTATATCAGTTGAGGGTGGATTAGCGCGGGTTACAGTAGTCTCGCTTTTTCTTTGTGATTGTTTTTCTTGCATCTCAGTTGGGGGTTGGTCCCCAAGGACGTGGCCCCACGAAGCGAAACTGGGTAATGCTCCCGGAATTCGGTTGGTTCAGTCCGGGTAGACTGTGAGGACCCCGGCCTCAATTTGAATTTTAAGGGAAGGGACACTGGGCCCAATTCCCGACTCGTGCAGCTCCCCACGACTAGAACCGAGCATTTGTTTGTTGGGAAAAAAAAAAAAGAGGGAGGGAGGGAAGATGGTAGTCACTAAAGAAGTGAAGATGTGTCTGCCAGGCTCACAATGCAACAGAAGCTTTGACATGTGCTGCATTGCCAGTTGGTCACTGGTTGAGGGCCTCCCCATATCACCACTGTTGACACCATAAATTTGGCATAAAATGTTTCGAGAGCTGTCAGACTTCTTCCTTCATATTGGAGTACATGTGAGCAGGTAGGGGGGGCATGAACCTGAGCCTGCACAATGAGAGTCGAAGTCCTTACCCAGAGCTGCCAGACTTTTTCTTTTGGTCAGCTTTCGAGAGTTTTTGGCACTCCTCACAGACTCTTGAAAGACGGACTCTTGAGCATGGGTGAACTGCTAGATCCAAGAGGGTGTGGCGAGTTGATGGCCCAGACAGGTGGGTATGGCTGGGCAGGCCTGTGCCAGGCGGCACGCCTTTGAAAACAGAGTGCACAATTTAGCATTATGCCGGGTCACGCAGGGGGAGGTTAGGGGTACACACGGGGTTTCAAGCTGAAAGGATTTTTCACGCTGCACACACGCCTCCAGCACCGGCTCCAGAGTCCCTGTTGAGCCCAGTTCCAGAGGTCCCCGTAGGTCGAGTCCCAGTGTCGTAGGGTCTCGTAGGGTCTCGTAGGGTCCGAGCGTCGAAGAGTCAACAGTCCGGTCGGGCGTGGAACGGAAGTGTCACAAACCGCCAGAAGTCACACCAGAACCCGACCAGGAAAGTTCGATCCCAAAGTCGGAAATTGCAGCAGCATCCCTAGAAAGTCCACAGACTTCCGGAACACGAACATGCAGCCAACAGGCCGCGGGCGACCGGTACTGGTCACGAGCAGGCAACGCCAAGTCAACTGTTCTGTTTATAGCTGCTACAGTGACAGCGCACATCATCTGTTCATTTGTGCGTTGTGGAAGCACTGCTGGTTGCTTGTGCTATAGTGCGACTTGGACAAAGACCGGCGCTTGGTGAAGAAGATAGCGCCTTGACCGCCATATTTAGGGTTAGGTAGGAGGAGGAAGGCCTCCATAGCCGCGAGGTTGCAGTCGGGAGAAGTGGGTGCTCATAGGGAAACTAGACCTGGTCAACGCTTAGATTAGGTTAGTAGTAACTGTTGAGATAATGAGTGTTGAGGGAGTAGGTCTAAGTGGTGAGGAGGTGGAGTGATCTTACCATCGTGCTGACACTTCACCACGGATGACTACGCGATGTTTGCTTTTCTCGCCTTGATCGTGATCTGGGCGCCGTTGCTCCGCTTCCACATCTTATCTCCCTCCGCTAAAATGGACTGGTGGGTCGTGTGGCACTGGTGGGTCGTGTGGCACGAAGTAACACTAAGATGGTCCGCCGGGTTGTCCTGTGTGGCATCTTAGTGACCGCTGGCTAATCCTGTGTGGCATGTCGGTGATGAACGCTAAAATGGACCGCTGGATGGTCCTGTGTGTTACGGTCTGTTACGGTGTGTTACCGTGTGTTACGGTGTGCGGATGTAAGTTTACTGTCGGTCTCTGTATGTTTTGTGGTACTGTGTGTTACTGTGTTACTGTGTGTTACTGTGTGTTACTGTGTGTTACTGTGTGTTACTGTGTGTTACTGTGTGTAACTGTCTGCGAGTTACTGTGTGTGCGGAT